TCAAAACTTCATTCAACATCAACACTTACCAGAAAAGTATCAGCTAGAACACGTGABCRTTCAGATCAGCCAGACTCTCATACAGACGACAACAATGTAGGTGCGTCGCACATGGATTCCTCCAAAAACGATGCTGATGATGAATTTTCTCTTCCATCCTCTAAAACCAAACCAAACACAATAGTATTAGAACACACTGCTTTAGTTGCCCAAAGATTTGGAGTAAGTGATAGAACAGTGGCCTTGATTGTTTCATCTGCTTTTCTGGATGCCAAAAAAGCATGACTCTGTATATGGGCTGTATTTTGACGGCCGCAAAGACATACACTTACACAAGTCARCGAAGGTGAAAAGTACTACCGCGACACTGTCAAAGAGGAACATATTTCTCTTATAGCGGAACCTGGTTGTCATTACTTTGGCCACTCCTTCCGGGTCAGCTGAGGATGAGACGCAAGCTATATGGCGACATTTACAAGACAATTTAGTTGATGTGGAACATCTAGAAGTTGTCGGTGCTGATGGCACCAATATGAACACAGGTAGGAAAGGTGGAATCATTCGGAAACTAGAAGAAAGAATAGGTAGGCCATTACAGTGGGTTGTTTGTGTTCTACATTTCAACGAACTTCCATTTCGTGCTCTTTTCGAACACATAGATGGTGTCTCAAAGAATCCAAATACATTCTCTGGCGACATAGGTAAACTGCCCTCTGATTGTGAGAAGTTGCCGGTTGTTAAATTTGAAAGTTTTCCATCCTGCCAATTACCTTCTGAAGTTATTAATCCAACCCAACTTAGCACAGACCAAGCTTATCTCTATAAAATATCAGAAGCTGTTAGCCGGTCAATGTTCCTCAGATTTAGCGTCGATACATCCAGGTARCATGTGCAAATCTCGCTGGCTCACCTGTGCAAATAGAATTCTGACAATATACATTTCTACTGACAAACTAACAAAGGAAATAAAGATTTTGGTCAAGTACATACTTACAGTTTACTCACCTTTGTGGTCCTCAATAAGATACAACAGTTCAATCAAAGATGGCTCGCGCCATCTCTATGCTGCAATTCAAAGGTCGACAT